AAAAAAAATAAAAATAAAAAAGAAAAATAAAAAAGAAAAATTTATATAAGCACACATACCAAATACTAACAATAGAGATACTAACAAATATTTGGGTATTTGTAGATTTGAAACAATATTGTGTATTCGTGGAACAGATACAAAAGTCTGGCTAATTGGTTCCTACCACAGCCATTTAACTAATTAAAAAAAAAAAAAAAGGCCGCAGTGTCCCGTAAGGAGGCCTATTACGGCCTTGAGTTCGCTTCTGCTAAGGTTGTGGATGGCCCCTGGTTAGTCTTAAATAAGCCATAAATAAAACGTTCATTATTTTTATTCTGTCTATAATATAAAATAATTTAAAAATGGGTCCCATCGTGCACGGAAGACGTCGAATATCTTGATTATTAAAATTAGTAGAATAACCTTGCAGGTTATAAAGATAGAATTAAGAATTATAAAAATAGAAATTTTTATTGATAAAATATCTATTAATCACAGGTCACTAAGAGTTATGTTATTTGTAGCGCATTCGATCACTCCTCTTTAGCCATAACTGGATTGATTTTTCTTTCTTTTTGATTTGCAGTTGCCTTTGTATATCAGCTCCTAAAAAGAAATTTAGATAAGAGCATTTCTAGTCATAGAAAGTTATACTTTGCAAAAGTTAGTAAAAACCGACAGAACAATTATCTCTATAAAACAAAACAAAAAATGAATTTCTTAGAATTTTAAATCAATGAATTTTTATAACAAATCATTTAAGACAAGATGGACTATTATGCTTAGTCGCCTACTTTGATAATTTTTCTTTAACTTTACTCAAAATGGCTAATAGGTGGCTTTTGATATTAATAGTTCTCGAAATCTCCATCAAAACAAAAATGATAATTGACGAATATCTGAATTAAAACTTAAAAGTATTCCAGGAACGTGCTACATTAACAGAAACTCCACTATTCTTTCCTCTCTGGGTTTAGTTTAATATTATTTAAGTGAAAAGAGACTAAATATTGCACAAAATAGCCCAGACACTTTTGGCGGCTATAATCAATAATCCACAATAATCTTGGGCCATAGACATTTGGCGTTAAACGTCATCATTGTATAAATATATCTAGTAAGTCAACGCTTATGAAGACAAAGTTTGATTTTAGTATGCTCGTCACATGGCGGTTCCAAGCGGACAGTAGCGCAAATTAAAAAAAATCGTAAGCAGAAGATAGTTTTATAGATGCCGGTAAAAAAAGTTGGGATTGTTTGTTCAACCGTACAACGTTGTCATTTTGCGAATTTTTTGGATCGTACATCGTCTCTATTTCAACAAAACTGGCAACTATCGAAAAATAGTTTACCAGCTTTATAATTGCGATTTATTAAAAGTCGCTTAGATGGTCTTTAAGTTGGTGGTCTACCATATTACGCATATTTCATGTTTGGCGTGAATTCAAGCCATCGGTAGGTATTTTAACATTTTTTTCTTTATGTATGTAAATCGCTAATTTTGTCATTCATCTTCGTATAAATATGATGGAAATAATAGGTTTGTTCCAACACAATAGCAAATCGGTTTACGTACTGTCAGGATTCTGTGCAGTCTAGATTTGGTGTTCCAACAAACTTCGGACTCAAAACTGTACAAAAACCTAGTGTTCCAACAAACTCAAACCTAATCACAAACCAGTTTCTGTACTGTCAAATCAGTTCCTGGGTCTGAATATGAACGAATTGTCAAGACATGCGCAAAACGAAAGTGAGCTCGTAAATAAACCACAACCAACTCTGGAAAATTGAAAATTTATTGATTATATTTGTTTTGATAGCATCGAACGTAGTCTTGATCCAAAGATTATATTACTATTATCGATTGTAATTTAGTTTTTATTCATTATCATTATTTAGTCTTCTATTATTGTATACGTGTATCTGTTGACTTATTAATAATGAGTTTTGGAGTGAAGAAAGTGAAAAGTACTGTTATTCTGACTTAAATATAGTACACAACTAAAATAAATAAAGTTTATTGTACTAACCAATCTAATAATCAAAATGTATAAATCTTTTAATAATTTAATAATTTTTTTATTTCCCAAATTCAAAATTTAACATTTGTTAAATTTGCTTTGACTTTGACGTTATCAACAGAGTATGTCTGACAATACAAAAATGTGTTCCAACACATCCAAGTTCCGAATCGCGTCCTAATCCTCGACAGGTCGTCGACAATAAGTTGTGGACTGGTTTATGTACGGTCCCAAGATTGTTGTTGGAACAAACCTAATAAAATCGTATGAATGTTTGTTATCCAGGACCGTAATTTACGAAATTATTATACCTATAGTTTTTAATAGAATGAAGGTAGGTAGTTTGAATAAAAAAATTGGAAATATAAAATAATAGTATTACCTATAATTAATAAAAGACAAGATTTTTAAATAACCTAAGTACCAGCCTCTTACAGTAATTATTAGCTTTCTTGGGGGAAATAAATACACGTGCAGAGGTTATTTATTATTAAATAATAAATGTATTATTATTAAACATTTTGTTAGTTATAATAAGTAGGTACATTAAAAATAGGAAAATGAAGAATTAATTTATTTATGTATTTTGCACTATAGTGTAACACCAGAACCAGCTAGAACTTTAGAGACGTTGTAACCGAACTTGGATTTTAGTTGAAGGACGACTTACCCAAGTTCGACTCAGGTAAGTTCTATTTTTAAATACGGACCTTAGGTAAAAAATCCTGAAATACGTAATTAATTATTTATTTATCATGAGTAGCTACAGTTCAAATTTTCAAGTTCCTACCTTTAAAAAAATCTATACTCCTACACAAACGTTTACCCCTCATTCTCAATTTGCCCTCCTTAAAGTGTAAAAACAAAAAACCCTGTATTAGGTCATTATTTATTTATGATGAGTAGCTACAATTCCAATTTTCAAGTACCTACCATTAAAAAATATATACTACCATTATTCGCCCCTTAAATCTCAAATTTTGAAATCCTGAAATACATCATTATTTATTTATCATGAGTAGCTACAATTCCAATTTTCAAGTACCTATTCTATACTCCCATACAAATAACGTTCACCTTCCATCCCCCCCCCCCCCCCCCTTAAAGTGTAAAATCCAAAAAACCCTTAAAACATTTTTGCTTTTAATGTTTTAAGGATTTTCTAATATAACATTGTATTTATATGTTGTCATTGGGAATACTTCGTAATATTATGTGTCTGGAGAATATTGAGGGCTTTAAATTTGTGCAACGATAAGGCTGCACTCTACAGATACGTTTAAGAAAAAAAGGTGGAAAATCATCTTATTTAAAAACTACTAGATATTTATTAAAACAAAAGGCAGCACATTTTCATGAATTTAATACAGTATGATGCAGAAATGTTTTTTTGAATTTTCTTTTAAAAATTTTCTACTTTTCGAAGGTTTACAAAAAATTCAAGGTTTCTCCACCCTAAGTTTTATTATTGTTGGTATTTCCTGAAAATTTCACAAAAATCGGACTAAAAATAAAGGCTCAAAATGAATTATAAATTTTGCTCTTAAAAACTAGATCTGATAGACAAAATCTGATGGATATTTTGAATTCTGTACCCAAAAATTACCCGCTAAAAAATCGTAGGTACCAAAATGTCTGTTGGCTTGTGTAATCTACTGTGTTTAACTCATCTGCATATACCGAGGCCTTTGTAGCTATTACTTACAGTTTGATTTTCCGTGACTATTTGAGATATGTTTACAACTTTTTGTTCAGATGTTTATTATGCACAAAAAGAATTCAATATTTCTCATTAGTTATATACATTTAAAATTAATTGTTCCTAGTAACATACCTAAGAAACAAAACATTTCCGAAATTTCCTATATTCCTCGACTATAGACAACACTGCTTGATCGTGACTGCATGAATGATCGATGACTTGCATCGGTTTTTTATTAAACATCTTTTTTTGTTGGATACAAATTTTCCATTTTTTAACAAGAACATTTTTTTTATGTATTACGAGTCTTAACAACTATATGTTTGGATGATGTACGAAATATTAAATAGTATATATATTTGAACTCGTATTACGGTTTCCTTGTAAAAAGCACTTTTATGGATCTTGGTCTAGGTGCCATTCGCACTGCTAATAATTAAGAAATAAGCCAAACTTAAAATGACATTTTTCCATTGACAATGTCATTTTAAGCTTCGCTTATTTCTTAACTACTAGCGGTACGAATGGCCCATAATAAGGTACTGACACACCCTTAGACAAAAATAAAGATATTTATTATATTAGCAAAAAATAGTTGTTAAAATGTAATGATAATAAACAATAAAATAATAAAGAAGGCTACCGACCAAGGATCCGAAAGCTTTAAACAAATGTGATTTTAATTTCAAACTTAAATCCCAAGAACACTACCCAATCAATATAAAAAATATTGAAGATGTACAAATGTGTTTAGGATAGGAAAATTATGCAATTTGTCGAGTGTATTTTGAATAGTCTAAAATTTCAACGGGTGTTCCTTCCGTGGATCCAACTAAAACAAGGTAAGGTTCAAGAAATTAAATATACACTTTCAAACAGTTTCTTGTACTTGTTCAACAGGGGAAACAAATATTAACAAAATATGCATCCTGGCAAAAAAAATTAATACAAACAATATATACATTAAAAATCAACATAACTAAACAGTTTTAAAAGACAAAACATTTACACCTAACCAATATACATAAAATGCTATGTGAGTTACCTAAAAACAGGTAAAAATAATGTCAACTTGTACAAACAGAATCTTGAATAAGATTATTAAATAAAAACAAATTTCTTTCATTAGAAATTTAAAACAAAAGATGCACCTTCTGAATTCATGGCAAAAACATATTTACAACCCTTAAAAATATATCACAATTATCATATTTGACACATCAGAATATAACATCTAAATAAAAACTAATTCAGTAAGTAGAATGTTTTAACAATAAAAGTTTATAAAATGTATACTTTTTAATAGATTTTGTATTATATTCAGTCTTCAGCAGTAAATAGCAATATATACAATTTCTTAACTAATCTGCGCTAATATTTTCTCGTGGCTCTAACTGGTTCAGTTTGTTGGGATCATTGACAAACACTTTTTTAGCTAAAGTCTGAAACAAAAATCATAATTAGATAATGACTTTAATAATTGATATAGATGTCTTAGTTCATAAACCATCTAAGTCCATTTACTAAATTAGGAAAACCTTCTAACTTCAATATCTAATAAATAACTTAAAAATACAAAAACTTTTAGGATGTACATTAACATTACAATCAAATTATCCACCAAGTGGACTCTAGGAATTTTCTGTTTTAAAATAGGACAATGTTTTTATTTTCTCCGGAAAAAAACCTTCATTTGTGACTTGGAAAGTTTGCGAACTATGATTTATTATAAGGACGGGGTATATCCCTGTGTAAAAAGAAAAATTTAATCTAAGAAGTTAATTTCAAAAACGTGCTTAAAAATATTTTCAAAAAATTTAGTAAAAAGTATATTATTATCACTAATTATACTGGAAACGCAAGAAAATAATCGAAAAAATTATATAGAAAATAAAAAAGTCTTAAAAAGATATTCAACAAACAAAAAGTTTATCTAACCCAAAAACCAAAAAAATAAAAGCAATCATGCCTCTTTGCAGCAAATGCTGCAAGGATTGCACTTTAACATAAGAAAATAACGAGCCTTTTGGTTGTTGCTGTGATAGTGGCAACACAATATTTTGCAAAAATTATGCTGGCTTGTCATCATCAGAAGGTCGATGCATTCCCCTGTCCAGAAGAGTGCTATTATTTTTCTGGCTCAGAATGTGTGGACAACATCAAAAACAAATAACTTATATAAAACCCAAACTTCAAGAGGTTGAATCTAACCTGGATAAATAAGCGCATTAAAAAAAAAACCAAAATGTGAAGATATAAAAAACCAATTAAACCAGTTTAACCACGACATAAAAGCACTGGGTACAGAAATAACATGAAAGCAACATACGCTGAAATCACGTCTAAGAAACAAGAACAAGCTGATCTTGTAAGAGGTAAAAGAAACAAAACGGGTGAATAAAATTGAAAATCTACGAAGCAATAATGTGGAAGAAGGAACACACAGTGAATTATTTTTTAGAAAAATGCATGAGAAACAACAAAGATCTCAAAATGTCCTATTGTTCGGTGTTTCAGAAACTAGAAACCAAAATGTAGATCAGAGTAACGCAGAAGAAAAAGACAAAGTAAGAAAAGCCATCCAAGAATGGAATACATTCTCCGAAGAGATAAAATTCTACTGGTTAGAAAAATGTGACCTAAATAAAGTCAGACTAATTAAAATAATTATCCCCTCTACTGAAGCAGCTATGAGTGTTATAAAAACAAAAATAGATTTAACCCAACGGTAGATAGAATATCGAAAAGAAGTCATAGGTAGAAAGACGAAAACAAGAAGGAGAACAGAACCTAAAAATTAAATACGTAAACAGAATTCCAAAAATTGTCACCGTACTAGGATGTATCAAAAAAGTAAACTGCTTGAGGTTAGTTTATTGTATACAAATGTAAATTACCTAATCACCAAGTTAGATGAGTTTCAATTAATAATAAAACAAAAATAACTAACCCTTATCTTTGTAACTGAAACATGATGGGTTAATGAAGATAACAAGCAATTGAGGACTTCTATACAAGGAAAGTGCAATCAACCTGACAAAATAAAATTGACACTAATGACATAAGAAATCGGGTTACATAAAGAGGCTGTTTTTAGTTTGCTTTTTGGTTTTTCCTATCTACTTTCCTGCCATTTGCATACCTTGTTGGACCCGTAACGTGAAAAAGACTTTTTAGTTTAGGGTATTTTACATTTAAAGGTTGAAACATTTTGTCATTGTCAGCTGACAATTATGTTGATGGTAGAACACAGGCGTAACCATAGATGTGCATAACGTAACTAGTATTTTATGTTGATTGTATATTGTATAGAACTTGCATTCGTAGCAGCAATTGACATAAATAAATAAATAAATAAATAAAAGCAAATGAAAAAAAAATGTTTCAAGAAAGCAGGAGAAACACAAATAGACTATTAACAACAAAAAATAAAATGCAATGCTACGCTTATGTTTTGACATTATCGACAGCTGATATTGACAAATGTTTTCAACCTTTAAATGTAAAATACCCTACAATAAAAAGTATTTTTTACGTTACGGGTACAACATGGTATTTAAACGGCATAAAAGTAGATAAGAAAAACCCAAAATTTAACAAAAAAACACCCTCATTATGTGACCCGATATCTTATGTTATTAGTGTCAAAAAAAAATTGTCAAGTTGGTTGCACTTCCCTTGTATAGAAGTCCTCTATTGGTACTCCTACCAGGTTACACTCACTTTCAGTGCTACAGACTTGACCAAAGAGAAAGTAATCATATTGGGGGATTTTAACTATCCTGAAATTGAACACTAACACTTTCTCAAAACAATGAAGAAACAAGAGACTATCTTACTACATTCACAATCGAATTTTAAGCAGCTTGTTAACCCTCCAACACGAAAATGCAATGAACAGAGCTCTTTGATTGATCTACTGCTGGTAAATTATAAAAAGCTAGTCGCCTCAATAAAATCAGAACCTCCAATAGGCTTAAGCGATCACGTAGTCATTACAGCAATCATTCAGTTAAATCTCAAAACTGGCAGTACTCCCAAAAAGCGAAAACGAAATTTTTGGAAAGCGAATTATGAAGCGATCTACAAAGAAATTTCTCAAAAGAGTACCCATTTACAACTAGAAGAGGATACAAACATGAAAAGTGGATGGATCTCATTAATGATGATAAAGAAAGAATCCTGAAAGACCCTAATCATATACATTTTGCTGAAATTAATAAAAAACAAAGATTGTGGGACAAATATAAATCCACTAGAAATGCTATTTATTAACAGCCTTAAACAAGATGCATGCCCAGGAATTTATGAAATTCCTCCAATATTCCTCAAAAACTGTGCAAGTAATATCAGCTGTATATAAGCAAACTTAATGAACAAATCCATGAATGAGTATCTGCTACCCTAGGATTGGAAGCATGTTATTGTTACACCCATTTACAAAAAAGCAACAAACGCAGTGCAATCAAATATCGCCCAGTAAGCCTCACAAGTTGCATCGGTAAAATAATGGAAAAAGTAGTTAAGAAAGGCATTACAGAGTTTACATTACAACAAAAAATCATTTCAGATAATCAACATGTCTTCATAACAAACAGCAAACAGCAAACAACAAATATCCTCAGCGCAGTAAATCAGTGGTCAACCTCCCAAGATAATAACCAACCTGTGGATATAATTTACCTGGACTATGAAAAAGTATTTGACAAAGTGCCCCACAGGAGATTGCTAAATAAATTAAAGCATAGCTGTTCTGGATTGAAAACTTCCTAACAAATAGAAATTTCTGTGTACGCGTTAATGGGAAGTTATCAACAAGTTATCCGGTAAACAGTGGCGTACCCCAAGGAACAGTTTTAGAATCGTTGTTGTTTGTTTTGAATACCAGTGATCTAGTTAAATCTATTAATTCTAATATCCTTTTATATGCAGATGACACATAAATATATTGCAACCCCCTTCAAAATATCATAACTATGAGAAGTGATTTAGATACAGTCGATAATTGGTCGCAGCAATGGCTACACTGAAGTCAGAAAAATGTACGGTACTGCATACTGGCCCCAACAATCCCATAGTTCAATATTGTCTGAACAATAAAACTCTACAGTTAGTTACAGCCCAAAAAGACCTTGGTGTGACAACATCAGATCTAAAATGGGGAACCCATATAGCCAATATAACTAAAAAAGCGAATAGTCTTGTGTGTCTGGCGAGAAAAGCATTCCAGGATCACCCTGAAGAAATGGTTCTAAAACTCTACACAACCTATGTTAAGCCAAAACTGGATTTTGCTCAAACTGTACGGGATCCATATTTTATCAAGGACATTGAGATGCCTAGAATGGGTATAAAGAAGAGTTACAAAATCCCTTCATTTTGAAGAACATTGACTATACACTACTAGACTGAATAAACTACAACTACTCTAAGAGAAAGATGCTCCCGTGGAAACTTAATTGAAACTTTTAAGTGAACTAGTGGATATTATTCATGCGAAAACATTTTTAAATCAAGTACATCCAGACATCTGCGAGGCCACACAAAGAAACTAGAGAAATAAAAATGCAACAGGTTACAAAGAAAAAATTTTTTTTAAGAAATAGAGTGGTTTATAAATAGAACGATAGGAGGCAACTGTAACAGCTGCTGTTAACCAATTTAAGGTTAGAATTGATAAGGAACTAAGTGAAGTAAGATTCTGACTTGTGCACTACAGTTTATGAAAAAACATGTAAAATTAAATCAATTTTTCTGTGGTACATTGTGTTAATTTTAATTAATTGTGATAAATATAAATAGCCTAAGTTCAGTTTCATCTGCTATGCCGCTTGCCTGAACTCTTAGCGTCAACTGAACTCGAACTGAGCGCGACGTCAACGACCTAAATACTACTACGCACGTTCTGCTTTGTTTATGTTGAACTCGAAATGAGCGTGAACTAAACATCTAGCTTAACTTCTAAATGATTCATCCGATTTTAGTAAACTTAACTTGTTTGGAAGATAAAGGTAAGTATTTTTAATTGTCTTATTCAGTGGTACACGATAGTTCATAATAAAATTGCTAGATGGCCTAATTTGTAATTAGTTTTTTTTGATTTTACACCAAAAAAATTTGCAAGAAAAAATACAACGTGAAACACTTCGATATCTTTGTTCATTTCAGATTTATTGCCAAAAGAATAATTTAATTTTCTTTTGAATGCCATATCATAATCGCAAAAATGATGTTTTGGACAAGAAATGGCTTATATATTAACTCGTTTTTCCTTAGTTACTTTATCACACTGTAATAAAAATGGTGCTCTAAATCAATGATATTTACTGACCAGTTTCACATCTAAATACAATGTTCTAACAAATATCACTCCAAACTTTTTTAACTTGTTTAGGGGCGTTTGATTTGAAACTCGATCGAGCGAGCGTCGAGGAGACCGAGAAGTGATGACGTCACAATAGAGCATTGAATCAAATCAAATAAAACAGAGTAAAAAACATAACCTCGCTTTTTGTGATTGTCGAAATCACAGGTCAAAATAGTGAGCAAAAAGTAAAGAAAATGGAAAAACTTTTAATAATAAGGGGTAATGGCCCTGAAATGCAGCATATACCACAAATTCCCGCTTCGCTCTCATACTCCATGCCTGTGATTACTGGTGATTAGATCTGGACAGAGAAAATGTATTTTCCAAACACACATTTTGTGTTTTTTATGACGAATAATTTTAGCTATAAGACAAAAGCGGCTAAGTAATTTGTTGACTTCTTGTCTGGTCTTTAATTTTGAGATTCAAATTTGTTTGTAAGTTAGTTAAAAAGAGATAGGTAGAGACAAAGACAAATTTCTCCCTCTTCTCGATCCATCTGCTCTGAGAACATCGAGCTCGCTCTATGTTCTCGCTCCAAAGCAAAACAAACACTTTAGGGATCTCTCGGAGTGTCAATTCAAACACGTTTGCAGCGCTCGGAGATCTCCGATGATCAAATCAAACGCACCATTTGTTGCCAAACCATTTCTTTAAATGTGACAATCTGATTGTACTGACAATGATATGTAGACAGTTGCAATTAGGGCTGGGCGATTGTCAAAATAAATAATCGATTATTTTTTCGATTAAGAAATTATTTTAATTTAGTCAATTAATCGATCAATTTCGATTAATCAATTATTAGATTATGTTAAATGTTACATTTTGTAAGAAAAAAATTATTTTCACTTTAAAAACTGTAAGATAATAACCTTTAAACTTTCAAGGCACTGGTCCCCATCGCAAGTATTTATCTCTGTCAATAGACTATTGGACCTCTCCAGTTCAGCGTAGAGACCAAAAGGAATTTTGGCTAGGCACTCAAGTTTCTGTATGTGCATCTTCGAACGCAAATGCTTAGCAAGATGCCCATGAATTCGAAAAGCTATGCTACAGTCTGAACACTTGAATGGCCTAGGTTCTGAAGAAGAAAGAGCCGGGGATGATGATAACTAGAATAAAAAAAAGAATATGTCATTTTACACACGTTGAAATAATTTTAAATGTTTCCATTCTTTCACATATACAGTATGGTTCAAATGAAAGGAATAAATTCATTATAATGGAAGTAGTTGGTTTTTCGAAAAAATGCTCGGACAGGTCAATTTTGTTTACTTAAAGCGCAATTTTTTAAATAGAATTCAATTTTCCCCCACCTCCCATTTTTTGGACAATGACGTCATTGACAATTTTTTTAAATAGTAACCCAAATTTTTTTTTCTTGATTTTGATAGATCTTGCAATTTCCTACTCGGAAACATAATATTTGAAATATCTTACATAACATTTTTTTTTGAATAAAAGTCATTTAAAGATCAGACAAATAAATTTTATTTTATTTTGAGAACACAATAAATGAATATAAGATAATTATTTGTAATTAAGTGCTTAATCTAACAAAATATTAATAATAATAATAAAAAAGAATTTGTGAAATTGGCATTAAATTCTTTTTATTATTAATATTCTTTTAGATGAAGCACAATTACAAAAAATCTTTTATTCATTTATTGCGTTTCAAAATAAAATAAAATTTATGTATCTGATCTTTAAGTGACTTTTATTCAAAAAAAAATGTATGTCAGATATTTCAAATATTATGTTTCCGAGTAGGAAATTGCAAAATCTTTCAAAATCAAGAAAAAAAAATTGGGGTTACTATTTAAAAAAATTGTCAGTGACGTCACTGCCCAAAAACGGGAAGTGGGGGAAAATTGAATTCGATTTAAAAAATTGCGCTTTGAGTAATAAAAACTGACCTGTCCGAGCATTTTTTCGAAAAACCAACTACTTCCATTATAATGAATTTATTCCTTTCATTTGAACCATACTGTATAATGCAAGACATTATTGATACTCAGACATAATTACCTTATTGTGATGACTAGCACTTCGTTCGTGTTTTTGTAAGTGTCCTTTGGTTCGAAAACTTACAGAACATGAATCACAGCGGAAAGGCCTTTCTAAATAATGTATATTCATATGTAACCTGCAAAAAATAATTTTATTTTTATTACCACATACTACTTTGTAAAGTAAATAAATAATTATTTTTAATTGGACAACCTCGAGTTTTGCAGGTTTTGATTTTAGACTTTCAAAACGATCATATCTATCGATTCCAAATGTTCAAAGATCGACAGTGTACATTTGAATTATGGAACAGGGGGGGGGGTCACTGAGATTGGTATGACTACTGACAAGATACTAAGAAAAAATTCGTTATTTTTTAACAAAAATTTAAGTGTGTTTTGACGAACAACTTTGCGACAGATAGATGAATAGTTCATTCTTAAGAACTTTCTAGTGGCAGATTGAAACTTGTAGTTCAGATTCTCATGCTTTTTACCTAAAGTAAAAAGAAGTTCTGTAACAAACTAACATAAACTACTACTAAATTAAACAAACTTGCCCTAGGAGACAAGGCTGTCACTTGTGTATGGTTTTCCAAACGTCAAAGGACTACTGATTTCGTCAAACACATCAACAAAAACGACGCTTCACCAAAAAAAAAAAAAATCATCTAAGAGAAGTACCCTTAACATAAACCTCTCAAAAACTACTATATAGTTTTTAAAATACCGTCTAAATACCATGAAACACAATTACATTCCTCAAAGAAAACCAAAGAGAGCAGCTCTAGTAAAAACTGCGACTACAAAGCAACCTACAATCCTTCAACAAAGAATTTGACAAAATCATAGTCAAACTGATACCCAACAAACCAACTTGCCGTCTGGATAGGTTGACAAAGGTATCAACATTCATGACAACTTAAAAGAAATCTGAAAATCTAGAGTTCGGTTTTGAGATTCCAGGAATAAACCTACTTCAAAGCTCTACTGACTACCCCAGAGTGTCATTACTCTATAATATTCAACCATAGCCTCTGCTCTTTCAAGAGAGTTCACCAAGCTGAACTGAAAAACATGAATCCCCTCTCATCCTACCCCAAATACAGCACCCAATTCACAGGACTTTAGGATATTGGGCACCAGAATGTACAAACATCTGATGTGTACAACACACGACTTTCCTGTTTACCTAAAGTTATTATAGGCTTTATCCAGTTATTCTGTACAACCTATTGTATCATCTTTGTAAATTTTTCGAGGATAAACTAAATACATACAATTTTACACTTTTCCTCAAATGTTTGCATTACAGTCCATTTTAGAGAAACCATGCAATTTTCTTACAAAATTCGAATTCTTCACTTTTGGTCAAATTTATGAATACAGACCATTTTAGAGAAATCATGTTTAGGACGAAAATTATAGAGAATGACATCACAAACAACTTTTATTTGACGAATTTTCTTTTCCAAGCATAAATCACAGATGTATTCCTTAAAGTAGAAAAACGACTCCCTATAAAGTATCCTTCCCCCTAGATGCTCCGACTATGCCCAAAATCTAATCAACTCATTAGAGGATGGATAAAGCTTAAATTTAAAATTTTGTGTTTTTCTCTTTATCCGTTTTTGAGTTATCATGGATACAGACACACAGACATGATCGCGAAAATAGTCAAAACGGGTTTAGTGGACCCTAAAACGTAAAAATCCGTTCAAAACTTGTGGTCGAAAAAAAATTATGATTCCTATACTTTCCTTCTGTATACAGACACGAAAGTAAAAGAGCCAGCTTGACCCAATGAAGGGTAAATTCATACTCCTTTGATCTGTAAAAAGGTCGTATAATCTAATTTGCCAGGGAAATTATCCGTCTTACTCAATTGGTCGGAAAAAATACCTGAGGGGTCATCCTTCAAAGTCTTCACTCCACTACAGTTAGTTCCATTCTGAAATTGTATGTATTATTAAGGAGCAAGAGATACCAATTACATAATATAAAGGAACATAATTCCAAACTCAAATGAGATCAAGAGGTGAAATAATTAAGAAAATCCCAAAGCCATGTGTAACAAAATAATACAATTGACCGGAAAACAACTACTTTGGCTGATACCACAACAGGCATTTTATTAAATGAGCACGGTGGTGTAGCGGTCTATCGCGCTTATATTCATTTATAGGCAAGTTTATGAGTCTGAGACTGCTGGGTTTCGAATCCCAGACCAGACCATGTGGATTTTTAATTAAATTGCATGGTTCGGTTTAGGATTTGATGTGTGGCGTATTAATAGAAATTCAATTTCTATTGATATGACATGCAGATTAAAAAAATTCGCCATACATTACCGTCTCGATGATGGTGGGTGAGGTTTTCCGGGTTTTCCTCACCTGTAAGTCAAATGGCACCATCAATCATCTTTAAGTCGCCCCGGAGCGCCACGGCAAATAATAATAATAGCCGTCCCTTTCTCCGGACAAGCTCAGCTTTTGGGGTTAAAATTCACTCGTAAGGGGGTGAATTAGTATTATTATTATTATTATAGCAGATATAGAAAATTATTTTCAACACTTTGGCTTTGATTTCGTCCTTATTAGGACTCAACAGCAAGCAATAGACATTAAAGATCAGAAAGTATTGCCAATTTTACATACATATATTGTCATATTCTCCTTTCAGGGTTAGAGCAAATGAAAATTTTGTCAGCGTTTTTTTTTTTTCAGATGTTACCATGCATATAAAATCACAATCCACGTTCTTAATCAACGATGAATACCATCACAAATGGCCGAGCATATTTAACTAAAATCCTAAAGTCTTTTATCAGATCCATTTATAGGCACTCGTGATCCGTTACAAAGGTACCTATTCATCTTGCCTTTATGCTTAGAGATATCCAGTCACTCGCTGTAAGAGATTACGCCTTCAAACAGAATAGTGGCCGTCTAGCCAATTTTCTAATCGAACCCCCACCTTCAGATCATCAAACAAACTTCCAACATTCGTATCTCAATCAAACTTTGCAACAAGGTTATAATTTTTTAGACAAATTCCGTATCATGAAGGGCTAAGCTACCAAAATCTATCCACACATGAAACTAGACGGGCCGAACTATAAACTCCCTCCCCCCAGTTGTTGTGATTATGTGTAGATAATCGAAATCACTGCACGAAATTTTTTGCTCCGAAATATAAACGTAGAGCAGGTGTTGGATCAAAAACAAGTTAAGAGTAAAAAAAAGGTTGAACAAGAAATCAGAGCCCAAAAAAGCTCATTTGAATATTCAAGAAGAATATTTATAGATCGTTCATTGGAAAATATTATGTATGATGAATCAAATTAAGGTGGGGGGGGGGGGGGGGGGGTGAATTTATGCGAAATCACTGAAAATCATATAGTAATGATTTCGCCGAAACATGAATTTTTTGTGATTTCCGAAATAAGGGTACGATTTGACCTGTGCTTTACCCATGTGTAACAGATGGAAGATAATTGATGACCAAAGGGGACATAAATAAGAAAGATGACATAACAGCAAATGTGAGAAATGAGTCTCCAAGACTTTGGAAACTAGGAAACAAAAAGTAATCTTTATTTTCCGAAACATTTTGTTATTTGAGTAAATACTTACCTAAGTTGAGATGGTTTATTAAAGCTTTTGGAACAAATAGTACAACTCTTATTTCCTTCGGATTTCCCCATTATCTCATTGACATCTTTATTAACAGGTCCGAAATTAACAGAATCTCTGCAACCATCCATATTTTCGTTTTTAGTAGCTAATTTAAGGAACTCGCTAGCAACGCTTTTTGCTAGCGTATTTTTTTCTAATTTCACTTGCTTTGTCGCTATATCTGCAAGAGTTTCCATTGCACTGTTGTCATATGGCCCACCTTTGATTGATTCTTCATTATTAATATCATGATAGTTGATATTTACTTGTTCTTCTGATGGCAACGCTCGAAGAATTATGACTGTACCATTATTATTAGTTGATTCAGTAGGTTTATATACTAAATGTTCTTCCTGCTCCTCATTCATTTCAAATCTCTGAGAAGGAACCTTATGTAGTGTATTAAATATTTCGTTGGCAACATTCTTTTGGGTTTCCACTGGCATACAGTCAATATTTTCCTGAGGTTCTGAGGGCCTGAAATTATCGACTTTCTTTTTTGATTCTGTTAACCTTAAGCTATCATCCTTAAGCGATTCCAATGGCATACAGTTGTTTAAAATCCTATCTTCTGCCAATCCATTTACAATTTTTTCTTGATTGTTTGTCATTGACAAATCTATGACATCGTCGTTTCTTTGTAGTTTATTCTTAGAGAGTGGTTCAGAAACAGGAAATTTTCGTTTCCTTATATCACTAACATTGTCATTTGTTACTACAACATCGTTTATTTTTAATGTAGGCAGAGGTCTATTAGGGTTAGTAACTATGTTTTTCACATTATTTAATATTACATTATCTGCTGTAGAATAATTATACTCCGTTTTTCTTGGTACAGTTTCTCTAACACTGTTTTCCGATATCTTGGGCGATATTTTTGGTTGCGATGCATACTTTTGAATAACATGGAATTGTTTAATAGACTTGACCTCAGGACTAACAGAAACGTTTTCTGGTATTCTAGACTCAACTTCGAATCCTTTAGGGGACGGTAAGGCTTCCTTTTCCACAGACAAAATGGATGTGTATGGATACGTTAATGGTCTACTAATGCTACCCATTCCTAAATATATCCGTATATTCTGACTTTCTGATGTTTCTGTAACTGCAAATGCATTATTCACTTTTTCTAAATCCGTAGAATTAAAAGAATTTCGTGTTGAATTTGGTTCATTCAATATTTTATTTTTGGCATAGTTCGATTTTGAAAAATGTGCTATTTCCTCTGTAGTCATAAAAGTTTCAGAAGGACAAGTGTGCAGTTGTGTCTTATCAACTTCGGATGTTTGGCTTGGCTTTTGTGAAAGAGACAATAATCCATATGCTGCTTCATGTTCTTGCTGCCTTGTAGATTCATCTAAAAAACAATTCATGTTAAAACAAATACGTTTGATTTACAACCACTTTTAAATATTATTTTCAATTTTTGCTAATGTCATATTAAATTAAAGTTTCTGAATCTAAGAATGCGGGAAAATCTTTTAAAAATTGGTACAGATATTTGTAAAATTACCGAAACAACGAATAAAAAAAGTTTATCTATTTATACAGATTCGCATAATGGCATATTTTTCCGAAACCTTGGCCAAAATCCAAAAATTGGAATTACAATATATGACTGCAATAGATCCGTAAACTATATAATATCTAGCGCCATCTGAGCGGCAACTGTTTAAACTTTTTTTATTTGCATGTTTTATTTATTTTAATAATATGGATTTTGTAGCTGGATGTATGAGCGAGGTTTTTTTTACATTTTTAAAAACTTTTATGACTACTTGTTAAATATGAACCAAGTTTAACAACCTAGGTCTACCACTTTCTAGTTGTTCTGCATTTGTTTATTTTATGTAGACCAATGATTATGATTTCAGTCAAATTATTGTAATTAACTTATATAATTGATTGTCCAGCAACAGGACAAATAAGAAAATTCTGCGAATACTTGCGAATCGTAATACGAATGTCACTTATGTTTAACGACCCCTCCTCCTTTGTACTATTTATGCTATTGATTATGTGATATAGAAAGAACCGATCACCTTCATGGGATTTTATCCGATGAATCGTTCATATGGTCATTAAAAATGAAAAAATCGCGGAGTGTTATTAAATTAGACGGTGGAAATTGGGGATAGTGATGAAGATGCAACCCTTACAGTTTTTAAATTATACCTCGAAAACAAAGCAAAATGCAGGTATAGTCAATGGGATTTTTTTTGCAGAGAATGCGATTTCATACCGAAATAGTTCATTAATTTTTTTTTATGTGAAAAAATATAAAAAAAGAATTTAAAAGAGCAATATATCAAATTTTTTGTTTTATTTTACCTTTTTGCTTTTTTGCATTTTCTGAGCAGAGATAGGTATAGGCATTGCTTCATATAAAAAAAGTAGATTAAATTTTACTTTAAAATGGGTTGATTTTTTTTTTTTTTTATAAAAACGGACTGGGATAAAGACGCTCAAACTTAGCTATATTTTTCGATTTTTATAACGTTTCATATTGTTTTAGTTCTTACTTTTTACAACAAAATTTATTTTTAATTAAAATAAAAGTATTTTAAGTTAATTTGTTAATAAAAATTTAATATTTTTACGAATATGTAAAACTGTGATCGATTTAAGTCACAATTAATTATTCTTAAAAATTTGTTCTTTTACGATTTAAAAAAAATGTCTTCTTTGCAATAAAAGTTATCATTTTATACTAATTATTATTATTATTTTCATTGTTCATTATTTTCATTTTATATCTCTACAATAATGTTATTAAATTGGATATCGATTTCGTTGTCTGTCTTCAAGATCATCGTCTCTCTGTAATCTCTCTCTCGTACATTTTCGCAATTGACATCCATGCAGTGTTTGCAAAATATTGAACAAGTTATTCCTAACTTCCTACAACCACAGCTTCCGTGGCAACCTGTGGTCACTGTCTTAAGTAAACTCTCTGACACAGATGATTCATTTGTGCAAATCGCAATCAATCCGTTTTTTTATTCTTTCCAACCCCAGCCGAGAGGCTTTATATGAATACCGTTCCACTGCTACATTTGGAAATATATGTCCTTAAACTAGGTATGGTGCTTTATGGCATCGCGTGTTGTCTGTAATTGGGCAAGAGAAAATTTTGCACTTTTTGAAGCTTGCAGAAAACCTGGAAGTGACAGTTGCTTAAGAGCGTACGTACAATTTTTCGGGTATAGGAGTTTCAATGCTATTCTTTTTCCCAAATTATGAAAAAACTAAAGAATATTTTAAAAAATTTTTAAAAGTACAATAAAGAACGTGTTGATATCTAGAAAAGTGCTGCTTGACAACATCGTAATAATTTTTTTATGGAAATCAGAGGGCGGTTGAAAATTGTGAAAATAACAACAAATTTTCATTTGATAAAAATAATAAGTCAGCTTTTTTTGTTTTTTATATAAATCATCTACTTTTCAAGGTAATAAATCAAAAGGAAAGTCACCGAAAACAGATTTCAAAAAGGTCTATTAGTTTTTTAGAAAATGGAAAAAGAAACAAAGCTTTTTAATCGAGTTAAAATTCTTTACTAATTTCGCTGTCTTTCTTCCACGATGTCCGGTCTCCCTCTTGTTTAAAATCGATAACTATAGACGGATTAAGTTATTTTGTACCTTACACGTGCATGTTACTACATTTAAATTAAAACATTTGTGAATGTTAAAAAATTTAAGAAAGATTTTGTAGAATATAAATCTTTTTTATAAAAATTAGTAAACTTTGCTGTATATATACGGTATTCTAAAAGGTAACTCACATTTATGTGATTATAAATTTTTTAATTATTTTTCTAATATAATATGGATTGCTCTCTAAATATATATACAGTGTCTCGCAGTGCTCCATATGGAAAACTTTTTATTGTCACTTTTTTCAGAATAAAACTTTTAAAGCTGAAACTTTCTGTATTTTAAATATAAATAAATATAAATTTGGCTGCGCATATAAAATTAATTTAAAACAATGTATATAAGCCCATATAGCACTTTTTAGTTAATAAAATTAATCTAGTTTATTATATACTTTTTTACGTAGGTTAAAAAAGTTTAAAAATTTGATGCTTTCTTGATGCGTCATATGATTTCACTTTGTATATGTTTAGGTACAGATAATTATTGATACTGATTTTGTTAATCCAAAAAAGGCAAACAAAAAAATCCTTGCCACATACAGTGTAACAATAAAAATTAAATATATAAATATAGCATGTTATGTATTAAGGAACTAAAATATTTTAGTCCTAAGGGAGTAAAAACGACACTTTAGTCCCTAAAATGAAGGAGTAAATTGCATGTTTTAGTTCATTCGGTACAAAAAATACTTATTTGTGCAACAAGTGTGTAAAGACATGAGTCAAAAAGGGACTTTACACACGAGTTGCATACAATATTTTTTCTACTGCCGTACACATTATCCACTAATATTAGAAATATAAAAGTTACTTTTTTCACTAGTGCATAAAGTACATAGTGATTTGGCTTTAGAAATTAATCTTGAACTTGTCGTGTTCTTTGATGATATACTAATAAAAGTTTAGATATTGACAGTTCGATAGCTTAATCAAATACTGCCACAACTAAAATACTATTGTTTCGAGAAATTTCATTATCATTATTTTGTTTTTATATTTTATTTAGAAGCTTCAATATTTTGCTGTTAAAATTAACGATTACGATTATAAAAGCGCCCTAACTCGAGTTATTTCATAGTTTGTAAAAAATTTGGGTGTTTTTGCAGAAAATAACTCGAACTAAGGCAGTTTTAGACACAGTTTGTGGCTAGATTTTAAATGATTTTCGTTTTGTGGCGGTATTTAAAGTTAAACCTTAATGATATTTTGCATCCATTGAACCAAAAATGTCTTTTTCTTTGTTTTTTGACTTGTGGCGGTTTTTGATTGAGCCATCGAGTTCTTCTAATCCACACAGCCACGGCCTATTTACTTTTACCAAAATCGACATCCACTGTTTGGATTTAGAGAAAATTATAATTATAATAAAAAAACTGTTGATAATTTGTTGGGGACTAAATAGATATAAGCAAAAATAATTTACTTATTTGTCTTAGAAGGAGTAATATAAATGGTAATATAAAATAAAACGTTCAATTATTTTTTTTCACTAGTGCATAAAGTAAAATACTTTATGACCTAGTGAAAAAAAAGAACTTTTATATTTCTAATATTAGTGGATAATGTGTACGGTAGCAGAAAAAATATTGTATGCAACTCGTGTGTAAAGTGTTAAGATAATAAACACATTAGGTTACAGAATACTTTATGAACACTATCATTGTACTAGTAATAGCTTATTTAAGCATGTATGTAAGCTATTACATGCAAGTGTACTACGGCTATAAATAAATTTATAAATAAATGCTTTACAGATTTCTTCGTACAAACACTAAAAATTATAAAAATATTTAATTATAGTGCATTAGATTACAATAAATTATTCAGTATTTACAATTTCTTCCAATAATATTGTTAAATAATGTTCGAAATAAAAGTTCGTTAATTTAATTTTGATAACATTTCCCTCCAAAGGTTCTGGTCCCTTTCAATTCTTTGATAAAGAATTCCTTTTGGTGTCCATATAGTAAAATAACAAAATTTTATTTTACTCACATTAAGTTGACCCTGTACTTGATAATAGTACGGATGTGTTTTTTTAACTTATAATTACCGTTAACTTTTTCCATATATTTAAAAAAAATTATCAATAGCCTCTTCTGGTGTATAATTTTTCACTGAAGGAGGACATTTGACTTCCACCAAGAGGTTTTACCGATTAAGCCATCTGGAATTACAGCCAAAAATGAATGTTCGGAATCTATGAAGATTCCTGAGTTGGATATTTCACTATCTAAAGATTCACTCAACTCTCTTAAAGCTCTGTTTTCATTTTCTATGCAATAATTAGTATTTTTATTGCCAGAAAATGTACCTTTTAATATGTCCATGGCAACTTTATTTTTATTAGTAGAGTCTACAAATTCGTCCAAAATTTGAGACAGTTAATCTTTTTCGTCGCTCCTCAAACCATTCATCGAATTTTTTGGCTTAAGGTTTTCTCACAAATATTTTGTGCTTCTATGCTGGAAACCTTTAAATTTTCAAGAAATTGATGCTTAATTTTTTTAAATTCATCGGGGTCAATTTCCAAAATTTTCTTTGCATTTGGGCCATAATGCTCATCTGCTAGTTGTGATGGTCTCTTTTCATACTTTTTAAATTTTATTCTTTTTTTAAGTCTCAGTCTTCTTTTTTCCACATTACAAAAAATTTTTGATACAAATTTTTTTGTGTACTGGCCAGGACTTTTCCCT